CTGTGGCTTCGTCGATGTTCTGGAAAGCTTTTGTTAGTGAAAGGCCACTGTGGACTTAGGAGGGATTACGCTAGAAGGATCTGGCTTGCTTTCAAGGCCAACCTGGAGCTGTTCGGTAAACGTCGGTGGCGGGAACGACATTTCGGGCGATGGTGGACGAATCTCCTGTCGATTCTCCATTTCTTGGATCTTCACCCATGAAGATTCGTGCTGAGTGTCCAGGTAGATGTTGCGTCTTGCTGAAACACTCCTGTCATGAGTACGCCCCGAAAAGATCAGTGAGGAGCAGCTTACGTTTGCATTCGAGCTTGAGGCTCGTCTCGGCTTGACCAACGTTGTTCGTGGCTCGGCACACGTAGGTGCCAGTGTCTTCTGGATGGACGTGAAGGAATTCCAAGCCAACATAGCCAAAATCGTGGATGGTACGGATGCGTGAGCCGAACATCAGTGGTCGGCCATCGCAGAACCATTCGATCTGAAGCAATTCGATTATCATAAACGGAGAACAAGCTAGCATCAAGTTACGGTAGGCGCGATATTCCGAGCACTCGTACCTTCAACGAAGGATCGTTGATCGGCTGTACAACACAATCCATATGCACACTCTGGCCTTCTTTGAGGATCTCGTCTGGCCCAGTGAGCTTTTGAGTGAACACCGGCGGCTGTGGTGGCAGTTCAGGTTCTGAACAGTTTCTAATGATAGGGATGTTCAGGGATATGTTTTCCTATAAGAAGCACAACTGACCGCTGGGTTTAGCCGGCTGGAGCTGTTCGATCTCCTGGATTCTTCGCAGCGATTCTGGATGGGCTGTGTCGGCGAGAATTGACTTGAGGCGTTCCACATCGAATTCACACGAGGTTTCGGCTCTTCCTAAAAGTAGTGTCGAAATAAATCGTATGGGAGCTTCAGGATCATTGCACTGCTGGTACTTAGGTCCGTAAGTGCAATTGTACTCGAGTAATACTACTTCGGTATGGCGTAGCTAAGAGGACAGGGGCTTCTAGCGGTTCCAGATCCTCAGTGGGAAGAGGAGTTCATTTGGGACATAAATTTCCAGCCATGAAGCAGTTTCAAGAAGAAGTAGAAACGTACTACGTAATCAGAAACGACGGAATGCACCAGTGGATGACAAGATTCTTTCGAACCCTGCTCTGTTGTGGCGAAAGGACGTAGAAGTTGCCCACTAGGGACAAAGTGTCCACGTCTGAGTTCTTACTTTGAGCCCAGTTCAGTAGGAAGAAATAATGGAGACCCTATCACGCGCTTATAGTCGTCATCGTTCTGTTGAGAGAGTTTCAGAAGGAAACCTACATCCGGAATCACCCAAATGAGCCCTTCCTCGGGAGCAGAGAGCTGATCATTACCTGCTTCATTCTCGATGACCAATGTATATTTTCCAGCGTCTTCAGCGATTACGTAGTCGATATCGAGGGTGATGTAGCCAAAGTCGTTCAACAAACGGTATCTGCTGCTGGCCTTCAGTGGCTGGCCGTTGAACAACCATTGGTACTGAAAAAAGGCATCGTTAAAATGTTCCCATACCTTACTGCGATTACTGCGCACTCACCTTCAGCGTGTTATCATCAACTGGTGTGACCTGTACCTCAAGGTGCAATGTCTGTGATTCATGCACGATATCGAATTTGGGTGGAAGTCCCTAAAAAACAAAATGATAGCAGTCGAAGCCACCCGAGGTAGATGACGATTCAATGAGTACCCTGAGGATTTGTGGCACTTCTTTCGGTTTCTCTGGAGCTGGTTCAACTCGTTGAAGTGGTGTCTCGAGTTCTTTGATACGCTGTAGTGAAGTCGGGTGGAACGAGTCGCGATACTAAAAAAAGTTGATCACATGAGAGGCGATTTTCTGTTGAAAATATCTATGATATTGCAGAGGAGAGATTTTCCCAAAAGAGGAAGCCTGTCAGGAAGTCTACGTTACGGCGTTGCGACGTCACGCACGGCATTGGGATGGAGGGCGCCGTATAAAACCCAGCCCTCAACCAGGTCTGAGAATAAGTTTTAAGCGCAAATGCGCTAAATGAATAATCCCTGGATACTTTTCTCCATCTCGTCAGAATCTTTTATTTCCTTCCTCAGGAAAATCGAGTTTTTTTAAACATCTGGATTCGGGACCCAAACGAAAGAAGTCAGTGATAAGTTTTTTTTTGATCGCGCCGTAAAATAAACATCGGACATGCACTACTACAAACAAACGATTCGACGCGAAAGTGATACTTGGGGAATACTTGGCGAACCGAGGAATTTGGGAACCGTCTGTCGAGATTTGGTCCTCTTGACCTAACACCCCAAATGGAGTGATCTCGTCACAAAACTGGAAATTCTGCGTCACAACGCCAAGACCACCCTAGAGACCCATCCAGGCCTCCCAGCCCAAAAATGTGAAAACACAAAGAAAATTATTAAATTTGAAGCTCACATTAGCTGCATCGATTCGGCAGTCAATATCGACCGTGGACTGCGCTTCTCCTGCGGCATTTCTGTAAACGGTATCAATTTATTGAAAATTTCAAAGAAGAATATTGAAACAATCCCCGTTGGGGAGCCGATGACGTCAGAAATCTTTTTTTCAACAAGTGTGCCAAGTTATGAACAAAACACCCAGTCCTGGTCAGAATCGAACCCGCACATTACGGGCATATCGCTGTCCTTTTTTAGTTGACTACTAAAAAGGCTATATTGGATCAATCCCTAACAAGTGTGAAAAATGGGTATTGATTGTATGCGCGTGAAATCGATATCAGCTTATGGTCAGCCAAAAGTACATCATATTTTGCACTTTAGTGTGAAAATAGTTTTGATGCACTGATAAAGGTGGAGGCCAATGAATTGATGAATATCGTACCTGACGACCAGAGTGTAGGTGCCGCTGTCTTCTGGATAACAGTAGAGGATGTTCAGAGCGATGTAGCCGAAATCTTGTGAGAGCACGAAACGATGTGCTTTCATCAATGGACGTCCATTTACTAGCCATTCGTACTGGAAAAACCGATTTTCAGTGAGGTCTCCTTTATCGGAGGTGGATAAGACAATTAGTCGGAAGGGGTCTGGACCTGGGAAGGATTTCATAATCGAGAGGAACAGGAGGGAGAGGAGTGAAGAGAGGACTACGGTCGAGGATCACTCGAGAGGAGGGCGTATTTGCCTTAGTAGGAGAAGAAGATCGTACTTGAGATTGTAGAAGACTCAGAGGGTCAATGAGAAAAGGAAGTAGTCCTACTGACGAAAATGGCCGGATTAGCGGAGGTCAGCGAAGGGTAAAACAGTAAAGAGCTCGGATCAGACCCTTTCCGGAATAAGCCATGCATTCAACTCTCAAAAACCACAGGCAATCAAACACTGCTTCTGGCAGCCAAGGAAATATGGAGAAGGGTTTAATGAATGGAAAGATGTCATAGAAGAAGAGAGAAGGGACCGTATTAGCGCCTCGGCGTAAGCAGCTGGTATGATCGTGGTTCTATGAAACTCCATATACGATGTTTAAATTCCTTTTCCAAGCTTATTGTTAGTTATACGAGGTCTTCAGTTGAGGTTGTATCCTAGCGCCGGTTTCGGTCTTCTCCGAACCGGAAACCCATGATTGGTAGAGCTTTTTCCGAGCCTGATGACAATGAAAACAAGCAACTCGATGCGAAGCTAATTGATTTCTGGATGGTTTGCCCTCGAAACTGTCCACCCATCGTTCCAAGTTCCTGTCATGTCTACACTTGATGTCCTGCTGGCGACATGTGCACTGCGCGTTAACGTAAATCCTGATGACGCAACGATTTGACATTGCCGCGGGCGACGTTTCAGACCAGCGTATGGCGCTTTCGGGCAAAGTTCTGCTTAAGCTAAAGCTAAGTCATAGTGCTAAATGATTTACTCAGATCTCAGAAGGTACAGATAGGATGGATATCTTGGGTGCCCACTTGGCTCCACAGGGACAAGCATAGGAGCGATGCGTTTCTCAGGACTTTTCTAGTACTGAGCGAATACCGTAAGAGTATTGTCGTCGGCCGGTGCAACTTGAGCTTCCAGATAGATGTTGTCTCCCTCGCTGCATTGAATAGCCGGACCCAGTTGCTTGACAAAGGTCGGCACCTGGAACGGAGGATTCAAAAATTTAACACGTTCACAAAAAATATATAAAAATTAACGGATGGAAGGCTTGAGAATAAACACTGACGCTTGTGCGCTTTCTGGAGCTCTATTATTTGCGGTTTTGGCTTTGGTGCTTCGATTTCTTGAATACGTTGGTAGCTCTTCGGGTGCTGTACTTGTCCAAGAATGGCGTCTTTGGCTGAAGTAGTCAAGATTAAGCAGACCCATTCTAGTGCCACTGGAACCAGAAGTTCTGGGAGACAGGCGACGAGAATCAGCCACTGTTCTGAATGGAATCGGGCCATAGATTTTTGGCGATAAGGTGTCGTTAAGGAAGGGGACTCGAGATTGGTGGCAGCACCACGGGGATCGGCAAGGGCCACGTTGTCCGGAGCCCATCGTAATGCGTTGGAGCGGTTCTGCCGAGAATTTCTTGAAGTCGAATGGAATGAAGTCATCAGTAGGTTGCTAGAACGTCACGCACCGCCGGCCACCGCTCGTTCACAATGACTTTATGCGACCACAAAGCGCCGAACAGCAAACAGAAATCGCCCATGGCGTGTGCACGCTCCTCTCGGGTTTCTCATCCCAGCGACAGTGCGATTTTTGCAACTGTCATCGTTTCCAATAAAACCTTATTCAAATAAACGCTTGAAGCAAGTAAGATAAAACAACAGTGCTTGCTTTGTAACGCGCGTGGTTCTTTTCTCTCACAGAGCCCTTTGAGGGTATTATCGAGTTAGAAACTGTGGTCCACAGAACGCATTACAGAGCCGACAGTACAGCTCTAATTGGCTGCAGTCCGCCTTGCGAGTGTTTCACAAGAATGCTCTTTCCCTAGTGTTTTCGGCTCTCGAAAACGCATTGCGTACTAAGCTACCCGACCACTAGGGAGCTGGAGCTTATGGGTCCGGTTCGAGGGCATGAGAGCGTTGCTTTTGCTACTGGTCTGACAAAATGTGACATAGAAGGACAAAAGTTACTAAGGATGTTACGGGAACGATCTAGGCATTTTCCTCTGGCGTATCTAAGACTAGCTACTGACTGTCCACCAGTTCATTGAATCCGATTATGCACAGTGTTAAGTGGAGGAAATTAAATGAGGCACTTGGTACCCAAAAGTGGACAAGTTGTTGTTTCTACCCATCACATACCTAGGCGACATTTTCTGTGTATAGAAACCTGAGACAGACAACCCTAAAAAGATGAGGGCCTCAAACTCACCAGTTTCGAATTCTGAGCGCTAATTGTCCAGTGAGGCCTTTACTGGAGTTAGGACCTTTGTTCCTGCCCCTCCTCTAGACTAGTGGGACTTATGCCTCTACCAGCTGTCCCGATCGTCTCTCACTAGTTCGTTAGCCCCGCACAGTCGCAGGAACTGCTGCTCCTCGGTAAGCCCTCGCATACTGACCACAGAACTCGGGCGGGGGTTCTGCGCGCCACTTCCGGGTGACGTCCTAGCTTATCACTGATTCTTTTTCGACTTTAGACATATTTGTTGTGACGGGGGTCTTCATCAGCCGGCCTGTCAACCTGGGCCTGACGCTGGACAGCTGTGCTCTCGTATCCCATCAATAACTCCATTTCTTTTGACTAGAAGGAAAAACTTACGTTTGCAATCGATTTTCGTCTTAGTTTCGACTGATCCAAGAGCGTTTTCTGCTTTGCAAGTGTATTCGCCGCTGTCCTGTGGGTAGACACCGAGAATGTCCAATGAAACAAAGCCAAAGTCGTAGAATGTGCGGAAGCGATGGCCTAAAAACGGTCAGTTCAGTTGGAAAGGCTAGAACGGGTATCCTTTTGAACTTGGCTCGGCGACTCACCATGAGGAATTGGCGCTCCATTGCGGAGCCAGGTGACCTTGAGGGTATTGTCATTGATTCGGCTTGACCTGGCATTCCAGATGGATCGGTTCGCCTTCCTCAACCTAAAATCGAAGGGCTCTTGTCTCCATTATTTTATCCCTGATGCCAAAGGTTCCGTTAGAGATCCTATGTATCCAACAATTCTGGCTAGTCTCACCTCGCCCATGTCAGCCTCGAGCGGGACGACGAACACCGGGGCCATATCTGGGCCATGTTCCTCGATTTCACGTCGGCCATATTTGTCAAGATTCTCCAAATAGTTGATCTTATCAAGTGATTCTTCATGATGAGTATCCAGAAGGACTTCTTTGGAGGCTAAAATTCAAGAATTAATTGCTTTTGAGCGAATCCCAAAGAAATTATGGACTTACGTATAACGTTGATCTTGCACTGGCGGATGGCTTCGCCGAGGGCGTTCGAGACACGTAGAGAGTAATCTCCCGAATCTTCAGCGATTGCTCCCTGGAACAAAAATCAGGTTTTTCCTGGGCTAAATGGGTACAGGGAGCTTAAGTCGACTTTGCGCTCACCTTAATATCCAAAGCGATGAAACCGAATTCGTTAAGGGTTTTCACGCGACTGCCAGTTATCAACGGGATGGCCATTCACGAACCATTCAACTTTCATTGTTGGATCGTTTACTGGGGTCACCTGGAAATAGAGTACAGCTCATTCAGTAATGCTCCATAGGAAAGAGCCAAAAGCCAACCTTGACGTCGACGTGAATGTCGTCATGCTCATTAAGCTCAAGATCATTGAGATTGCCGATGATCTGTGGCGCAGCGTCACAAGTTCGGTCCTCGACTTCTGGTAGGCCCATGTGGCGATCCTGCTCCAATTCCTGAAAAGCGGTAGTTTCGAAACTTCAAAGGGGATCCTTAGAGCTCACAATGGTGACAAGCCTTCTGATAATCGTTCTAGTTCTCCAGGCAACCCTTATAAAACCCTATCGACCGTACCTGAATGCGTTGCAGTCCTTCGGGATGATGAGGATCAAGGTAGAGGGTCTTGGCACTACCAACGACCAACTCCAAATTGCATTGTGCTTCTCCGAGTTCGTTGCGTGCCACCTAAACGCGACGACATCAATACAGCTTAGTCTTATTATTTATATTTTTTTATTTTTATTTTTGAGAGTAGGGGCTTCATTTTTATGTTACGCTAACCTGACCAATGATCTGTTTAAGCTCGTTGATGAGAGCAGGACCAGAGATTCAAACTGACCAGGGTGTAGGTGCCACTGTCTTCAGGATAGGCGTAAAGAATGTCGAGAGCGACATAGCCAAAGTCGAACATCGGGCGGAATCGATGGGCCGCCGGTAGCGGTGCGCCGTTGTGGTACCTGGAAAGGAAACGAACTTAACGACCAACTGTCACTGGGTAATTTTTTCACCTCTGGGTAATATATGCTATAGCCCATGACTGTGAGATTCAAAGGAAGGCTTTTACAAAAGAGGGGTTGTTCCAACAATTTGTTCTCCAAATTTCCGGAAACCGGAATTCCGGAATAAGGTGGTGGGAACAACACTTGGGATCCGCTTTTGTCTGGTCGCCAAAATCGGACTCACCATTCTACGGTCATTTTGACGTCGTTAGCCGGTTGTAGGCGAGCCTCGAAGTGCACGGGATCGTTTTCCATGCACTCGATGCGAGCTGCCAGAGGTCTGACAAATTTAGGCTTATCCAGTGATTGGAACTCTTCTGGTCGGTCCACTTCTTGAGGTCCGATATGAACCTGAAAGTCATACATTTCGATCTGTTACGGTAACTGTAGAGTCAAGCACAAACCTTGATGGCTGTCCAGATATCCGATTATCTGCAAGCTGTCCTGATGCTTGGTGTCCAACTGGAGAGTCGGCATGGGAATAGTGGTCAGTTCAGCGGAGCTTTGTGCCTGAATTCCAAATAAGAGTTCAAAAGCAAGTCCGAGGGCTCGAAAAAAGAACAAGCATCAGCCTAAACTGAGGTGCTCCTTCTTACCTGTCCATTGGCGTTGAAAAGCACGCAGGTGTACGTGCCGGCATCATCGGGATATGTCGGATTGAGAGACAATGAAACCACACCGAAGTTATTGAACGTCTGCAAAAGTTAAAAAATATCATAGGCAAGGAAAGTTATATAAAAGTACTATTGAAGGTGAGCATGAAGAGATGTGAGTTTATAGTGTCCGAGACGCGCGCGGTCGCGATGCGGCTGACACGCGATTTATCAAATCATCAAGTCAATGGTACGCTTTTACGTTACCGTTTATTCCCATGATCTCGCTACCTAACAAACTTCCAGTTGTCTACACTTCCTATCCATGCTGCCGCATCGCAACCGCCCGCTTCTCAGAGCACATCTCCCATGTGCCAATATTTTTGGAATAGGCCCCAAAAACTGCTCTCCGACCAGAATCTCGCTGCTCACCTGAATTCTGTTGGCATTTGGCAGTGCATGGCCGTCCTTGAGCCAGCTGACCCTCAACGAGGGGTCGTTAACTGGGCTGATGCGAGCCTCGAAGAACGATCGGCCTAATTCTTGGTCACAGTGGAATGGTTGCAGCTGTAAATGGATAGTGAGCAAAGAAAACGGTATTGTCCTTATCGTGTGTAAGTCCCAAATAAGTACCTGTGTGAGGAACTTGGGAACCATGTCCTGTTTAGCGTGGCTGTACTGAATTTCTCGTACGTCGTCAACGTCAAGATCGCGATTGTGTTCATACTTGTGGAGATCGACACGAGCTAAAATGGGCCATTAGGTCCCAATTACAAGAGCAAATCCGAGGAGAAACTTACGATGTACAATTACGGTGGCCTGGTTCTCAGACTCGCCGAGTTTGTTGATGGCTCTGCAGGTGAACACACCGCTGTCATCCTTCGTCGAGTTCAGAATGTCCAGAGTGGCGAAACCGTGATTCAGGGTCTGATGGCATCTGTCATCTGCAAAAGGAAGTTTTTTCTCAGCGGAACTAAAAGGGGGGCAAGGTTAAGTGAAACCCTACTTTTCATGAGCTCTCGTCCGTTCAGGTACCAAACAACGACCAGATTTGGGTCATTTAGTGGGGTGAGTTTGGCTTCGAGGTGAATTGGCTGTCCTTCGAACAGTTCATGAGATCGCAAATCAGAATGGAAGTTGGGGAGATCTGTAAGAATGAAGTGATCAAGGTGGTTCTACCTCAGTGCCAATTAAGCTCTTGGCTACCCAGGCGCTAATTATCAGCCCTAACTTACCAAGTTGGATTCCTGGAGGAGCACGACTAGTTCTTGATTGATAAGCGGTGCCGAAGTGTTATAACTTCGTAGGCTGATCTACTGTGGTGTGACCTAAAAACACCATACGATTCGCTACAAAAATCCATTTCGTAGAAAAACTATGCGTTAGAATCGCGTCCGCATGGAACAGCTTGGACGATGTCGTTTTGGACGAGTTTCATGTTATGGCGCATTCGCATGGCTCGCGCTGCAACTCGTCCAGAGGGGCGGGCATATTACATGGACTGACCTGCCGGTAAAACTTGCCCGAAAGTAGTAACTTTCGATTCAAACTGAAGCTGAACACATTAAACTTCAGAAGGAGGTAAAGCATAAAATACATCTTGCGTTGATCAATACCTTTAGGGATGCGCCACGCATTCTACTCCCATTCAGAATCGTGGAATCCCAAATTCAATGGAATTACAATTTTTTGAAGTCAAGTTTTGGAATACTGCCATGATAATGGAGATACTTACCCATCACATTCAGGACCACTGAATTGCGAGCCTCTCCCAGAGGATTCACCAAGACCACTGTGTACTCTCCCTAAAAGGTAGACGTTCAATTTTCCAGGCGCCAGTATGACCTATGCATCTACAGTAAGACACAGTACCTGATCAAACACCGTAACTGGGTTGATTTCAAGAATGGAGAGTCCTTTCTCGTTGATGGTTGTGACGCGAGATGAGAGTGTGATTGGCTTACCATTCAGGAGCCATACTATCTGCAATAGCCCAAGAATTGTTTGGTCAGAGTCAGGGCAAAACAAATCCCTGAGATAAATCCCGCCTACCTTCATGTTTGGGTCGTCAGCCGGAGAGTATTTGAACTCGAGACGAGCTGTCTGACCTTCGATCAGATTCAATGTCTGCGGTTTGCTGGAGAACACCGGCGCTGATTTTGAGGCCGCCCTATCTTGGCATTTCATTTACGGGTACAGGTGTTCTGAAACAGATCCAATACTTGACCCTATTAATAGTCATACTCGAATGCAATCTAACCTAGCCATGCGGCGGTCGACTTTTCTGAGGGTGACTTGCTCACGATGTGCTGGGCCAAGT